CCAGGAAAATAATTTACAAATTGAGGACGTTGATGTGCACTTGGAAGACGTCGAGGGTTTTTGCATTGAGGGCTTTGATGCGCAAATTTTTAATGCAAAAGGTTGCTTTCCGTGCACACTCAAGTTGACCAAAATATTGATGCGGACTTGTTGCCTCATCCTGTAAATTAGCAATTTCTAGTGAGAAAAACTGGAATTCTTCATCTTATAGTTCTTGTTATTTCTTTATAATCGCATATTCAAAAAATAACTCAAGCATAAAACTTACCATTGTTTTTTTAAATGGATTCAATTATCTTGTTTGATCGAAAGTTGTTTCTCATTCTCTTTAAAAAATCTAAACTTGAATACATAACTATGACGAAAATCATGAATCTTGATTTTAAAACTTTTGAAGAAAGTGTTGAGAAAATCTTCTTCGGTTGCTAATAATGAAAAATATGAAACAAAAATGTCTCAAAATAATGGTGGAAGAAGGCCATGAACTATGAACTTCAAACACATAACAAGAACTATACTTGGGATATTGTCAAGCTACCTAAAGAGAAAAAAGCAATTATAAAATCAAATACAATAGTGATAGGTCTGTTGAGAGACATAAGGCCAGGTTGGTGGCCAAAGGGTTTACCCAAACTTATAGAGTTAACAAATGGAAAACTTCTTGAAGATGTGGGCTGCTTTCAAATACTTGTGGGCATATTCATTTGTTTGAATGTGACACGATTAGATATAATGTATGCGGTTAGTCTTGTAAGCCAACTTATGCATGCTCATAGATCATGTCATATGGAGGTCGTTGATAGGATTCTGAGATATCTTAAATCGTCACCCGGTATAAGCGTTTGGTTGAAACCGAATGGTCGTACTAATATTATTGGTTATTCTGATGCTGATTGGGCAAATAGTCCAATTGATAGGAGGTCAACTACTGGTTATTGTACATTGATCGGAAGAAATTTAATTACTTGGAAAAGCAAGAAGCAAAATGTAGTTGCTCGATCCAGTGCAAGGCCGAATACATAGCTACGGCTTCAACTACAAGTGAATTGATGTGGCTAAAATACCTACTTCGAGATATGGGATTCCCAACGGTCAATTCAATAGATATGTTATCACATAATCAAACAGCTGTGCATATAGCCTCCAATCCAGAAGTTGATTGTCACTTTTGTGAGAGAATTTATTCAGTACAAAATTATTAGCACTCCTTATGTTTGAAGTGAAGGATAACTTGCAAATATGTTTATCAAAACTATTGCAAAGACAAAGTTCCATCAGATACTATCCAAGTTAAGCTCAATTGATATCTACGCATCAACTTAAGAGGGAGTATTGACAGTTATAGAAACCAAATGTTGAGTTTCTATCTTATATATTAGAATATATTAAGTTTCCTATTTTGAGTTTTTTTTTTGTGGGATTATTATTGTGGTAAGATTTATTTATTAAAAGATAGGAATTGTATCTCTATAAATACTGGTTTATTGCACTAATATGTCAGATTATTACCACTAATATGTGTCTCTCTAAGTGATGGGAAACGAAATAGTGAGCTCGAAACATGGGTAACTTGTTACATATTCAAATGGGGACACAGAGTCCATACCTTTATGATTTTCCACTAGCTTTTCTTCATTGAAAAAGCTGGTATCATTGGGTTTGGGTTGAGGACCATCAAGCACTCGCCCATTGCTAATAGCATCATACTCAGAAGCTACTATAGGAGTCAAATTTTATTTTAGTAGAACCTGACAATCTAGCATGTTCATTTTCATTTCTCTGCACCATCATCTCCAGTACCTTGATGCACCCTCACCTGTCTCTCCCTTGATGAGCCCCTGCCAATGATTTTTCCTTTGGATGTATCTTCCAAAACAATTATTGAAAAAGTCTTTTAAACTGAAATCCCAAAAGATAGTTTTGAGCCACAAATTTCGTGGCATGAACAATGGAATTAATTGAAAGTCACAATTTTTGGACTAAAACGCCTTTCCATCGAACTGTATTCAGAGTTGAGCCTAGCCATGGCTTTTTAAAATACTAGGAACTACATCAAATTTAGCAAAATTTCAAGTATGACTGGAAGAGTAAATTACTCCAAACTAGTGAAATCCAGTACAACATTAAAACACCAATTGCTCAAAGCCACAATCAGTATACACAACAGAGACTAGCAATGAAAATTCACTAAACTCAACTAATTTTCACTGAAATTTTTTAACAACAATCTTATTTTCACTGAAATTTTTGAGCAACAATCTTCCATTATTATTATTATTATTTATTTGTTTTGTTATTTTATCCATCTACGAGCAATAAACTTACACAGGCGAATGCTACTGCTACATGCGACTGAGAGTAGAGGAAGAATAGGAGGCAGAGCCCATGGCCTTGGCCTTCTCCCTCAACAAAAACTTCTGAATCTTCCCTGTCGAGGTCTTTGGCAATTCCGGCACAAAGACAACAGTTTTGGGGACCATATAATGGGGCATCCTCCCCCGGCAGAAGGCCACCACCTCCTTCTCCCCTACTTCCTGCGTCTGGGTCCTCGCCTTCACGAAAGCACATGGAGTCTCGCCCCAAAACTCGTCGGGCCTCGCCACCACCGCTGCCTCCTCCACTGATGGATGCTCGTAGAGCACCGACTCCACCTGAACACTGCTCACGTTCTCGCCCCCTGTTATGATTACATCCTTAGACCTGTCCTTGATCTCTATGTACCCGTCCGGGTGCATCACCCCCACATCTCCGGTGAGAAACCAGCCGTTAACCAAACACTTGGCGGTCGCCTCGGGGTCCTTGAGGTACCCGAGCATCACGCACGAGCCTCTCAGTGCGATCTCCCCGAGATGGGCACCGTCTCGTGGCACGCTCGTCATTGTCTGGCGATCGAGCACATCGGCCTCTGTCATGGCTACTGTGCGCACCCCCTGCCGTGCCTTGAGCCGTGCACGCTCCATCCCCGGTAGCTTATCCCATTCCCCTCTCCAGACGCAGGACGTCGCAAGTCCTGCAGTCTCTGTGAGGCCGTACCCATGGCTGACTGTGAAGCCGAGGGCCTCAGTGCGGGCAAGCACTGCAGCCGGGGGAGGCGCTCCGGCGGTTAAAATGTTGACGGTGTGCTGGAGCTTGGCAGGGGCGTTGGAAAGCATGTTGAGGACAACCGGCGCCCCGCACATGTGGGTGACCCTGTGCTCTGTGATGGCGTTGTAGACTGAGGCGGGGTCGAAGCGGCGGAGGCAGACATTTGTCCCGCCCATGGCCGCGATGCCCCACGGGAAGCTCCACCCATTCGCATGGAACATCGGGAGCGTCCACAGATAAACCGGCTGACCGGGCACACACCAATCGATCAACGAGGCTATGGTCATTGTGAAGAGGCCGCGATGGCAGTGGACCACACCCTTCGGAGCCGATGTTGTCCCGGACGTGTAATTCAGCACCATCGGGTCCCAGTCCGACTGCGGCTCAACCCACTTGAACGCAGGGTCTCCCTGCTGCACCAGCCCCTCATATGTAAGGGCCGATCCTTCCACTTCCACACCCGTTCCTGCATCGTCATATTCGTCTTCGATGACGACAATTCGGGGAGGGGAGGAGAGCTGGGAGATCGCTTCACGGACAAGGGGGAGGAGGGAGCAGTCAACAAAGACCAGCTTCGCTTCGCTGTGTCGGAAGAGGACTGATACAGTGCGAGCATCGAGCCTGATGTTGATGGTGTTCAGCACCGCACCGCTCATCGGCACCGCGAAGTGAAGCTCATACATGGCCGGGATGTTGGGCACCATCACAGAGACCTGTTAGGGAGAGAACAAGCCATGAGAGATCTGTGAATTCCACAGACAGCAATTGAAAAGTGAAAACTTGAAAAGCGCAGTGATATGTGAATTGCAGAGAGAGAGAGACGTAAATTGAAAAAACTGAGTAATTTGGAAATTAGAAATAGTGAGAGAAACAGGGCAATCGGAAACTGGGAATTTATGAGAGAGAAAGAAAGTGGGTTTATTGATTTGGTGCTCACGACGTGGCCTTTGGAGATGCCGAGAGCGGAAAGAGAGGAGGCGAGGCGGGTGCACCGATCGAGCGTTTGGGACCAGGTGAAGCGGGTGCGGTTGTAGACGATGGAGGTGGAGTCAGGGTAAACGGTGGCCGCACGATCCAGGAATCTGACGGGCGTCAGAGCCACAGAGTTGGCATCGCTTGGCTTCAATTGCTCCATGACCCCCTCTCTCTCTCTCCTTCTGTGTTCAAGCAGATGTTTCTCCGATAATGGCACTGGTAACAGTAATGAGGTGTAATAAGTCAACTCTCCATCTTTTTCAAGCTTTAACAAATGAGTCTTCTCTCTCTTTCCTCTCCCTTAAACATCTCTCTCCTCTCTCTTTGTCTCTCTCTTAAATCTCTCTCTTTCTCTCTCTTAAATCTCCCTCTCTTATGAAGAAACCATAGAGCCCTGTTTCCGTTTCTCAGTTGGAAGCGGTGGATTAAAAGGAAATGGATAAAACATTTTATAATGACCGACCCCCATGCGGCCCCTTGACCGGAACCCAGTCTTGAGGATTCACAGAAGTTGATATTTACGATTAACCTCCACGCCTAAAGATTCCTATTCAATGGATAGGAATTTTTTTTAAAAAAATTATTTTAAATTTGGGAAAATTACCTCTACCCCCTCCTTAAAATTTTCATTCTTATTAACCCGTTGAAATCGCCAAATCCCTTTTATCCCCTCAAGTTTAACACTTTGGAACCATTAGCCCCCTAATTGTGTTTTTCTTTCTTCTTTTTACAATTTTGATCACATAAATGCTAAACCCATACATTAGTCATCTCTATTTTGTTTTTTGTGGCTTGATATAAAATTTTTATTTATGATGTTGATGATAGTAATAATAATACGGTTTATAATTAATAATAATAATAACAACAACAATAATGTTAATTGTTAAAAAATTCATGTCTTATAAGTATTTTGAGAAATTTTTTAATTAATGAATAAATAAATAATAATATTCCATTAACAATAGTAATAAAGATCTTGATTAATTTTTTTGAAGTTCAAAAGATATCGATGCGATTGTAAAATAGGTCATAATATTAAAAAAAAATTCATTTGCTTTTCATGTCTAAATTTATAGAGTAGAGTCTACAGAGGTAAGATTGGTTTTAGGAGGTAAGATTGGTTTTAGGCAAGGAAGAGAAAGGAAAGGAAGTTGACTAATGGAAGGGTTTGGCAATTGGTAAAATAAAAATATCAAACAAATATAAACATGAAGAAAAACATAATTAGGGAACTAAGGATCCCAAAATTTTAAACTTGAGAGGGTATAAGGGATTTTGGTGAACCCAATGGACTAACAGGAATGGAAATTTTTGGGAAAGGGGTAGAGGCTATTTTCTATTTGAAATTTTATTATCTTATTTTATGAAAAAATTTTAAAAAAATATTCTAAAATTTGATTTTATCTTTTTTATTCATATTTATCATAGTGTAGATCATGTATCTCTACAAATTTAGATCCAAGATCTATATAAAAAATGGGCATTAGAGGGAGCCCGCATGAGAATAGTATGAGTCAGTGGACTCATAAAAACTAGATCCATTTCAAAAAATTATGAGTGCATTTCAAAAAAAATTGGACTCATAAAAATTGATGAGTCCACTTACTCATAAAAATTTATGAAATTTATGACTCATAAAAATTTATGAGTCCACTAACTCATAAATTTTTGAAATGGACTCATCAATTTTTGAAATGGACTCATAAATTTATGTATGGATATGAGGGAAAAAAAAAAAGATTTTAAATCCTAAAAATAGCACATATTACAATATATTATTTTTACCATGCATTTTCAAGATTTTCATGTATTTTTTTATCAGCTCGATTTGAAATAGTTTTGGAGTTTAAAATTTCATGATTCAAGAAAAAAAAAAAAATGTTCAGGTCATCCAAAGAGATTTTTTTGCCAAAATTGCTTCTTACAACAACATTATAAGATGCACTTTACTTTAATTATTTAAGGATGGAACCTTATGCAAATCACACCAAAACTTTAAAGGTTGTGGTTTGTATAAAGTGTCAACCTTAAACAATCAAAGTAAAACACACCTCTAAGTTTGGCTAAAAAATATAGATCTAGTGCTGGAAACCCTTATGCTAGCCTTAACATCTATTTTCACCTTTAATTATGAAATTTAAAGGCCAAACAATAGTATAGATCATGCCAATCTATAAAGATTTAAAAATTTAGAAGATGGATGGTCCAAATAATATGTTACAAAATGTATAATTTTTAATATTAAATTGTATTTTTGTGAATGTTCAGATCAAAATGATCAATTGCAGGGCTTTTTTATTCTGGAACAACTTTTTTATATGAATTTTTGTGGTGCACCTTACATCTAAATATAAGTTGACAACTTATAGACTATTCCAACTTTAAAAAGGGAAATTTTAGATGCCCTATGGACCCTAATTTCTAGTCAATCCCACCTCCCCACCCAACCAAAAAACAAAAACAAAAAGACTTTCTCGATCACATGCTAAACCCGAAAACTCCTTATTTTTGCAACCATCCCCAAGTCAAAACCTAAAGGTTTTTTTTTATGGCGAAATTACCCTCATTATAACCCATGTTTCTCTTTTTATAGTCATGCTTCCAGTTTCTCTCTCTAAACCTATCCGACACAAATTGTGTTGGACCGACGCAATTTTAATACAAATCAGTCCAACACATGTTTGTCAGACCAATAGAATTTTAATACCAGAAGTCGGTTTGGCACATTTGTATCAGATCGGCATATTTTGTTTGAAACCAGTCCGGCACATTTGTGCCAAACCAACACATTTTGATGATCAAAAGTTAGTCCATCACAAATTTGTGTTGGATCGTCACATGATGGGCATCACATTTTGGGAGAAAAATATAGGTTAAATGAGGGTATTTTGATAAAAAATTAATTTTTTTACTTATAGATTGGATGCAAGAATAAACAGTATTAAAGCTAATAATATCCCATAATGTGGTATTAAAAGTATTAAAGGGTTGGATTGGTGGCATGCCTAAAAAGTGATAATGTGGATCAAGTGAGTTTCAGACCTTATTGGAGGAAAAGTGTTTATTAATGACTGACGCACATGCGCCCCCTTACCGGAACACCCAACTAAAATTTGGAAAAGTTGAGCAAGCTTTCAATACTTCCCGAATCCAAAACAATATGTTTTTTTGTTTTTACAAAATATTTTGACACTAAATTTTGGGCTTTCACTCCTCGCACCTACAAAATAAAAATAAAAAAAAATTATTCTTAATAAAATGAAATTATCAAAATACCTTTTAAAATTTTAAAGGTATTTTGATTATTTTATTTTTATTGGGGATATTTGTTTTAGGTGTGCCTCATTGAATTGATGGCATGTACCAACTTTCATATTCATGTAATTTGTAGAATAAAAACTAAAAATAAAATACTTTGAGGCATCACATCTAGGTCAAATAATCAAAACGGCTGGATGGGAGAAGTATAAAAATTCTACACAGTAGGGGAAGTATAGAAACTTTTCCCAAAAGTTTATATATGATTTTGACATCCTATATTGTAGAGTTAAGTTGTACTTCAAAAATTGATGAAAAGAAGGTTGTTTTAACGCTCAAACTATTGGATGGATCATCTCGATGTTGGGATGCATGGATATGAAAACAAGAAAAGATTTCAAGTCCTAAATAGGATAGATTGCAATATATGGTTTTTACCATCCATTTCCAAGGTTTTCGTGTGTTTATAGTTATGCTTGATTTGAAATATTTTTATAGTTTAAAATTTTATGTTAGAGATAAAATAGTTATGCCAAAATTAATTCTTAGGACAATGTTTGGAGGTGTGCCTTACTTCGATTGTTTAGGTTGCAACCAGTGTTAGTAAAATCGAACCGGAATGGTTAATCAGGCATGGGCTTAGAAGCGATTTAACTGGCCTAACCGGTAAAGTGGCCTATTCAATTGTTCTAATCGGGCAAGCCTGGAAGGTCAAAAAAGTGTTGAAAAAAATAAAAAAGATACATAAACAAATCTACTAAAATATGAAAAGCAAATAAATAATTATTAAAACAAAAAACATTCAAATGAAGTTGAAAGTTAATGAAAAAATGAATTTTAATTAATCAATTTGTACCTAAAGGTATTTTTAAAATTTTATGAAAAAGAGGGGACAAAATTAAAGTGAGTATTAACAATCAAAACTATTTTTAATCGTTACCATAAAGTAAAGAATGTTAAAAAATGCATTACAAACCAAATTTCTTGTTTTTGAGAATTTATATTGAATTTTTTTTTTTTTTAAATACCGATCAATCAACAAAATTATCCAAAACTAGAAGTGGACGATTTTGATCTAACAGGGCAGTTAGCGGTTAGATCGTCTGGTATTTCCAACAATGGTTGCAACAAATTAAGGCGCACCTCTAAATCTGGCCAAAAGATGTAGATATAGTACTTGAAACCTTTATGATAGTCTTAAAATCTATTTTAACATTTAATTATAATATTTAGAGCTCAAACAATAGATCGCACAAATCTATAAACACTTACAAATTTAAAAGATGGACAATACAAATAATGCATTACAAAATATATAATTTTTAATATTGGATTTTAATTTTTATTTTTTGGATATATTGAGATGAAGATGATCAATTGTAAGGCTTTTTTGACGCAAGAACAACTTTTTTATATGGATTTATGTGGTGCACCTTACTTCTACAATTTATGCTTGACACTTTATATAGACTTTTCCAACTTTAAAAGGAAAATTTTAAATCTCTTGTTCACCCAAATTTCTAGTCAATCCAACCATCCCACGCCACCACCCCACCCAACCAAGAAAGAAAAATAGAAAAAAGAAAACTTCTTAGATCACGTCCTAAGCCCCAAAACTCTTTAGTTTTGCGACCTTCCCCAAGTAAAAACTAAGGTTTTTTGTGGCGAAATTACTTCCACTTTCTCTCTCTCTCAGCCAATCCGACACAAACTATGTGAGACCGACACAATTTCAATATAAATCAGTCCAACATATTTTGTGCCATACCAACATAATTTTAATATCAAAAATCGGTTTGACACATTTTGTATTGGATCGGCCTATTTTGTTTGATGCCAGTCCGACACATTTGTACCAGACTGGCACATTTTAATAATTAGAAGCCAGTCGGACATAATTTTGTGTTGGATTGATACATGATAGGCATTGCATTTTGGGAGAGAAAACATAGGTTAAAATGAGGTTATTTTGGTAAAAAAAATTAACTTTTTTTGCTTATTTAGGGAGAGGGGGGGGGGATAGAAGAATAAATAGTATTTGAGTTAAAAGTGTAGTATAGTGTGGTATTAAAAATATTTTTTTCTTTTTTCTTTTGGGGGTGGGAGTTGGGTTGGTGGCGTGCCTAGAAAGTACAAATTGGAAGTCTATCTATAATTTTGCCAAC